TGGGGCTTCAGGTAACCTGGGCTGGTGGGAGGTGTCCCTGCCCATGGCAGGGGGTTAGAACTGCGTGGTCTTTAAGGCCCCTTCCAACCCAAGCCATTCTGTAATTCTATAATCACCTACACAGCAGCTTGGCCAGCAGTGACCTGCAGACATACAGGTCAAAGGGCAGACAGGCACAGCATTCACTAATAACCATTTCTTTAGGCAGCATCTGATGCCACTGGATCAGTCTGTGGTCACAGATAATAAGAGCTAAGGCTTCCTCTAATAAGGCTTAGGTAACACTTTCTGGGCACATCTGAGTGAGATCCGGGTTTTTGTCTCTGAGTCATGGTAGTAGGCAGCCCTGCTTGTTACTTTGACATAAATAAAGGTCACATTTGAGGGAAAAGAACACCTGAAACTGCATGAGGGGTTTGGCAGGTTGGTGGTTGAACTGAGAGATTTGCATTTAACTTCCACCAGCTAATGAAACACTACCTCAGCCAGGTAATTTCCAATGCTTTCTCATCTGTGGCCAAAACAGAAGCTCGATCAATAAACAGCAGGAGCTGCTTTTGGCACAGAGGTGCCAGAGCTTACTTGCAGTTAGGACAACAGGCTGAAGATGTGATTGCTGAGTAATAACACTAGCTCTGTTGGCTTGTGATGCTCCACCCTGCGTGCCTCTGTTAGCTATTGTGTTGATGTTGCCATTAGTTTCTATACCTCAAGGTCAGGTCAGCTTGCAATTAGCAAGCAACTAGCCTGAAGGGAAAAGATAACTACAGTGGTTCAGTAATAGGGATTTGTGTTGGCCAAATATTTTGTAGGAAAATCTTAATTTTGTGATTGTTGCCTTTCTGTACAGGTATTGATTTTCACTAATTAGATTGGTATTTAAATTACTGACTAAGAGGTTTGTGGCAAATAGCTGTTAAGTCATAGCTATTTCTGTAACTGGCTCCCTGGGAGTACTGAAAAGCAAGCTGTTCAGATCACACGATCCTGTTATATGTCCTGATTGGATAAGCAGCAGTCTGATGATCGGGTTTCAGTAGTACATGTTCATGACTCTTACCCTGAAATCTCATTTCTGCAAATTATCTGCAATATCCTCATAAGGTGGGATGTACAGCAGAAATCATATTCACTAAAATATTTAGAGGATGCACATACACAAATTACAGCCTCTTGCCTAGGAGGCATGCATCCTTGTTTAATGCAGAAAGGAGCAGACATAGAGGCTTCTCCACTGAAGAACTTTCTGCTTTGCCAGCCCTCTTGGGGCCACCTTGATGAGCAGTAAGAACTCACTCTCCAAGTCAGTTCAGCCTGTGGCTTCTTGACAAATCTTGTCAGCATCATGGCTAATTGATGCAAATTGCAGTGTGGGTTTCATGCTATGGCTGCCTCTGTCTATGGGCTGGTATGAGGTTAAAGGTATGCTCATCAGATGTTGTAACCCTAGTGTAAGCTTAACTGTGCCATCAACACCCAGATGTGGCCTGCTGGGCATGCTTTCTCATCCACACAGATCATAGAATTTTGTGTTCATTTTCACCAACAATGACTTGAGCTCTAAGTCAAAGCAGAATCTGGTGGTATTTTACAGCTTTAAAGCCCTTCAACTGATTAAACTAGATGTCTCAATATGCATACAATTATAAATGTAGTGTCTTTTCTTTCAGCAATCCTGATATGGGAACATGAGAAATTGTTGGATGAATATTATGTTTTCACATTTTTAATTATGATCTTTCAACTTTTTGTTTTGTTTTGTTTTTGCATTTTAATCTTGATTTTAAAATAAAGGTTAGGAAAATATTGAAAAATAGGAAATTAAGTGAACTACATTTTTGGGGAGAGGTAGACATAAGAATGAAATTTGATGGATATTTTCACTCTGACAATTTCCAGATGAATTTTGGGTTTGTTGTGACAATATTTTTCCAGCCTTGCAAAAAAATTGTAGCTTCAGTAGTTACCCTTCTACTTGGCACTCATTAACCAATATGTATGACAGAAGCATACAGCTCTTATAGTCTGTAAATCTTCTGATTTGCAAGAGGAGCTTGCAAAAAATAGTATCCATTTAGAGAATAATTTGAAATGCTTGCAGTTTAAATTTACTTTCTGAAGACTCACAGACTAGAATCAAGCTCAGCAATATTGCAATGTCATAATACTTGACAGAGAAACCAACAGAAGATAAAAATTTGATATAAATAAATTCTGATATGAAAATCTGATGGAAAAAGTTAATAAGCCCTGTTCTGGGGAGAAGCAGACAGGACGAGACAGAGATGGGGAAGAGTGAGAGAGAGGGATTCTTCTTCTCAGTGTCTTGTTTTGTTTTCCAACATGCAGTCAAGAATAATTTAAATCAAATTTGAATTTGATGCATATGTAACTGATTTAGAGACTAAAACTCAACCGTGTGAATTTGAAGACCTAAATGACTCTTTATGATGAGAAAAAAAAATAGCCTTATGTGTGGAATACACAATGAAGAACATTGCAAGAAAATGATTTAACTTTAAGAGAGCTGTGGAAAGGATGGTTCAGGCTTTTTATAAGCTAGTACCAAATAAGTCTCCTCACCCAAGATAGCATGATTTCAGGCAGAAATATACAAATATAAGGAAACCACAGGAGTGACACAGTGAGGAAGTGAGTTCTAGTGAGGAAAAGGTGTGGTTACTTCATCTGCAAGTACTAGAAAAAGTAGCAGAAGGGGGAGGTATCTTTTTCTATGTTTAAATGCCAGATGTGACAGGCCAATGGTTATAACAGATTCCTAGAATGCTTTGGGTTGGAAGGGACCCTAAACATCACCTCATCCCAACCCACCCTGCCATGGGCAGAGACACCTTCCACTTATATCTGTTAACTTTCCAAAGACTACAGAAAAAGACATGCAATTCTCCTAAGACATGCATTTCTGTAAAGAAGGAGTGTTGAGTGCTCTGTAGCAGTGGGGGCAAGGTTGTGATGGCTGAGCTGACACCACATAGGCAGGCATACCATGGCTTGTGGATCCAAATTAGGAGCTGGCAGTTAGGTTCCCAAGCCTGTATCATCAGCAGCACAGGCTGCAGAGCTCTGGGAATAGATATAGAAGGGGGGACCACTTTGTGCTGAAACCTGGTGTCTACCTCATACATATGTCAGACTTCTAGTGAGTCCCCAAGAACTGGGGGTTCATCCATCAGTTTGGTTTTACCAGTTCAGGGGCTGTGAGTGAGCCCTCTGATATCAACCTAAATAAGCCAAGTGGTAATAATTGGGCTTTTTTTTTTTCAAAAATGCCATTCTATTCCAACTAAAATGTTGCCCTAAATTTACCTTTCAACCCTAATAATTCTAGTGTGCTTTCCAAAACTGGATGCCCAGAAGCTTCTGTTCTTTTAGGAAGAAAATCTCAGCTGTGCTGCCAATACTCAGTCTCCTTGCTTTGGCTCTGTACCCAAAGCCCACGTACCAACAATGTCTTAAAAGAGGTGCCTCTGCTGATTTCAAAGTGAGTGATGTTAATGGCTGCATTCTGAGAACTTCTTATAGTATAACTGACATGGATTATTTATGGCAAACCAAATGGCCCAGAACAGCTATTCTAAAAACAATATACGAGAGTTGGTTATGCATCATGCTTTGCCTCATGTCCCACCTACCCCAAGTAAAATGTGTATGTAGCCATTGACAGTAACATTTTCTTCAGGCCCACATGTAACTTTGGGGATGCACCATGTTCCTGTAAAGGCTGTTTTAATGGCTAAGTGTACTCACATCCCAGTGGATGTTCCCCAGTGCTCAAACAGGTGTCCCAAAACAGACATATGACAGACTGGCACAGACAGCTTTTGGGACACCATGCTCCGGGAGAAGCTATCCTTTGTTGCAGAAAGGCCATAGACAGAATGTCAGGACAGCCACATAAGCATCTTTTGCTGGTCTGCTGCAGGAAGAGGGATGAGTGAGGTGCTGATGGTGACTCCAGAGCTGGACATGCCCTCACCACCAGTCCCATAGTGCCTGAACCCATGGCCAGAGCCTAGTGTTGGTCACAGCTTCCATCCACAGCCCTGCATGCAGCAACGTGACAAATCAGGTCTGGAGTCTCCCAGGGAGCCCAGTGAGGAGCAGAGGAGGCAGGGCTGCAACATGGGGCCAACAACCCAGAGACAAAGATAGGGCTGGGTACAGGCACACCCATGGCCCAGCATTGTGTGTCTGAAAATTATCAGTTGGAAACTCCTACTGTCTGGAGGTACAGAGAATTTGCAGCATTCTCAGCTGAGGGAATAGATGCTGAAAACCTGCCAGCAAGGGTTTTATGTTGGAGGTAAGGGAATGTAGTAGGCCTGTACAGCCTTAGTGGAACAAGAGAGGCACATCTGTAGCCTTTTCAACATTCAGCATACTTTATTTGAGCACATGTAGGTGGTTTACTAAGTCGAATAAAGTTAAAGATTTATAGATTTTACTTCTTGCAGCTCTGGCACTCACTGCACACAGCTACATTAAGTCCCTTAAATATCAGTCTGCTTCTTTCCAAAGTTAAGTTAGTAAAATTTGCTTCCCCCCTCCTCAGAATGCTGTAACCATAATTAATGTTTCCTTAATGGTCTGAGAAAAACTTTTAGGTAAAAGACACTGTGAAACCACAAACTAATAACATTCCCAAAGAGAGAGTCGAAAAGTTAGCTGAACTCATTTTTTAAGAAGCTGAAGATTTCTTTGCAACTATTCCAAATAAGTTAGCTAATTTTCCCTTCCATCAAAACAATATAACGTCAGAGGGATGGCATTTTTTAGCTGTTATAGACTAGCCAAGGTCACATTCCTCTGCAAGGCGATTGTCTTCCAATGCATACCATTCCTTGGGATAGATAAATAATGAGTTAATGTTTACAGGGAATACTGTCAACAGAAAATAATCTAAAAATATCACATTTTTGCATTGATTTCACTTCATCTGAAAATAAATAAATAAATAAAAACAATATCAGGATAAACAGTAAATTTGCTTAAGAGTTTAATGTACAGGAACACTTAAATCGGGAAACATTATCAATACAGCTATGGTAATGTGACTACATTTTCTTTCAATGGCAAGGTGATTTTCTTTTAAAGGGAACACAGCCACAAAGCTTTGTTTCACATTTAGAAAAGCAATAAAACATACCCTACTCCCTTAAAGTGCATTTGTGCCAAAAATCAGTGCAAGACTTCTTAGTTTGTTGTGACTAATGCCACAACCTAAGTCTTTCATGAGCAACAGATGTTGCTTTCATCTCTGAACTACACAGCCCCAGTACAAAACCAGGACTGACAAAGGTTGTAGACTTCCCATAGGAATACCAGTACACCCCACATTGCCCTTCCTTTCTGCATGTCTCATTAGACCTCACCACAGTGTTGATCCATTCCATGATGACCCGCTAAAGGTTGGTCATAAGGGATGAATATAGCCCATGGTCTTGTCCAAAGATGGTCTGCGCTAACATGTGGCTGCATTTTGCTGAACTTGGTTTTCCAAAAAACCCACATAACTTCCAATTAACATGGTGCACAAGAGGAAACCTCACAATTCACTCAAACATCTGTACATCTTTACACTTATCTTTACAATAGCATATTAATTTGTTTTCATATATATTGTACATATATTTAAATTAAGAAAAATATCCCTTCTGCTGAAGGAAAGGGTATCCGTTTTCAGGCTGTTTGGTCAATTATTCAAACAGTGCTCACAGCATGACTCAGGACTTGCACTTATCCAGAGACTACTGTTCAGGACTACACTGAGAATGCACATTGCAACCCTTGCACTATCCCGTGTTCCTGGTATGTGCCTGGCACTTAGTCTTTCCATGGAGTCACTCCAGGAGGAAATATTTTCTGTATCAGCCATGTTCCCTTTGCTGGGAGCAAACCAAGCCCAACAGTCCAAACTTTGAGTCATTTACTGGTTTGCTTTGATCCAAGACTGATGTTTATGCTTGTTAGTGGACAAGACAGAGAATCTCATCTACATATTTTAGGTTATCTTTCCCAAGGATGGCAGTTCAAAGCAGCAGTCCTGTGTTAAACTTCAGTGTGGAATCCAACTTTGTAATACATGTTGAAGAAATTAAATCTGAAGTAAAATCCATCACTTTAAAAATTCTCCTTTTAATTTCTTTTCCTTTCTCTTCCTTTTCACATTGTTCCTATTTAATTTTACTTCTTTTTCCCCATTTCTCTGTGGCTCTTCCTCTTCACTGCCTTTGTTTTTTTTCCAGTTTATCCATTTTTTCTCCAGGTATGGCCTCATTGTTCCCCCATTACCCTCCTCCTTTCTTAATAGTGACGCTCTGTGTTAGCATGAGTCCTGGTGTATGGCATGAAACCACTGCCTCTCTGCTCCCAAGTGCTGGTTTTCTGCTGATTTTTTTCCTAAAAGCCCTTCATGCACAATGACTAAAGCACTATTTTCTCCGGCCTTCTGAGCACTTCCTCCTTGCCCTGGGTTTATTTTTTCCCTTCTTGCCAGCAGTCCATCTCTCTCTCTCTCTCTCTTTTTTATTTTTCTTCTTTAAATCAGTTATACAACTCCCTCTACACACACTTGGGGAGGCTCTGCAGTGATTTGCTCATTTTCATTTAAAATCACTTGCACATCTGATGCAATGCAGGTAGAGCTGCAACACAGCAGGTTACCTTAAAATCAACAGTGCTCATAACTGCCAGATGAAGGGAGGAAGGGGACCAAAGGGCTGAATGTATCAGGGCTGGGGACGTCCCCATCCTTTCATGGAAGGTGGTATACAAAGTACTGAGTAAACAAATAATTGAAAACATCCAGTACCTTTTCATCTTAGGCTGCCTCAGGCATGGGAGGAAAAATGGGTTAATGAGGGAAAGGCTTTTAGACTAATCCAAGGCAAAAATGATTGTCCTTTCAAATACGATTACTAGAAAAGTCATTTGGAAGCCAGTGGGACAGAGCGGTGTGGAGTAAGCTGTCTCTCTGATACACATCAGAGAGACCTTCACACTGGCTGATTATAGTGAATACATAGTTGACATTAGCAGAGACAAAAAGCTACATGAGTGCCACGTTGCCTTCAACAGCTCCCTTCGTCCCTGAAAAATTTCACAGGGAACAAAAAAAGCATTATTCTTTTTCTTCCAAAGAGCAGAGCAGGTAAAGGGTCTTCTGGAAGTCAACAGCATTTCACCTTATAGAAAGAACATGAAAACGTCTCTGAGTCATCTGCAATCATTTTTACAGCTCCATGGCAATGCAGAGGGTACTTCAAATAAAGTTGGAACAACGATGCTGGGACATCTGCAATGCCCACCCCACCCTGTGCATGTCTGTTTAGCACTGAGGAGAGAGCCCCTGGAACCTGGGGAGGAAAGGTCTGCACACTCAGGGCTTGTCAGAATCAGAAGGAAGCCAGCCACAACCTTTACATGCATTGCATTGTGCCAGGAATCTAGAGCCCTTCATAAACCTTTTCTAAAGCTTTGCTTGCCATGCAGTATGGCACCAGCAACAACAGAGCCCAACCTTAATTTTGTGATTTTCTCCACTTGCAAAAGCAATTTATTAGAGAAATATAAATTGAAAGTAGTCTTTCTGAGTGCAACATGCATGTTTAACCTCTTGTAAATGACCACTAGTCTTTGTTTTTTGCTTTGTACTAATCAATGCCTGCAGTCCTTATTGCACATTCATTCAGCCTTTGCTCCTAGCACGTTAACTAGAAGTGAATGGGAATCTTCTAGTACAAAAGGAAAGCATTTTTTTAAATACATAAATAAATAAATTGCCTTGGCTTGCAGGAGCTCAGACTATTGTGTTACAGTAAGTCTGTGGAGCTGGACAACAACAACCAAGCAGCTGAAGACAGCTAAGTGTATTAGGAAGATCAATCAGAGTAACATATGGGATATGTTACTTTGATAAAGACTGAGACTTCACAAAAGCAGAAATGATTAATTACCCGAAGTAGGAGAAGCAAGAAGATTACTTGACTTACAAGCATGGAAGCTGATGTGTGCTTTGGGAACACAGGGTGCTTGAACGTTTGGCTTGTTTTGCAAGTTCCTGGGTATGTTGATCTTCTCTGATTCTCTGCTGAATAGGCCTGTCTTTCTGTTCAAAATATGAGAGAACCTGTAAAGACTTCTTTATCAGAGGACAAACACTCTAAAAGCAATTAGTTTCCAGGTGAGCTTGCAATTTTCTTTTCAAGTTTGCATCTGTCTTTCTCCTCACCTTAAAGGAAAAGAAAATCAGAAAACAAACATTATTAATACAGCATCTCAGAAATAACACATAAAAATATCCCAAGAGCTCTCACCTGGTATTAAGAGTACTAGGAAATAAAGCAAAGGAATATTGCATGCACTGACCATTATGCACTTAACTACATCATCCCTCTCCTATCTACAACTTAAAACAACAATATTCATCCTTTAGCCTCAAGGCACAAATTCTTAAAGCCCCTGTGCAAGAGTACGTGATGACACACATGAGTGGAGGTTCCCTTAGAAACACAAACAAACAAGTTTTTTTTTTTTCCATCTGCTGGACCAACCCCACCCTCTATATGCCTGTGAACAGAGCTAGTGGTGGATTACAGGATCCATGTTTTTGCTTCAGGTGATCCCTCTAGCAACAGCCATTCATTTTGCAAATGTTTTTAAATAGTGCTTTCAGAGTAAAACAACTTTTCAGTAATTTGGAACTGTTATTTTTGTTCTAATTGAGGGAGCCAGGAATTTGTTGGAGTTTTTTGGTTAGTTTTAGTGTCATTTCCAGTGACATCTAGGAGAGAAACCATGAATCATGATTTGCTTCCCTCAATAGTTGCTTCTGTTTCAGTTTATTTTCCCAATGACTTAAGTCACTTCTTACTAGGTGCCACATTGTATGAGCCTAAGAGCTTTCTCCTCTTGAATTAAGTTTCAAGAGTTTTCTTAAAACTTCATCAGATGCAGAAAACCACATGATGTAAAGCAGAAACTAGAAACACTAGAAACCTTTGAGAAACATGAAGACTGTGGTTTTAGGCAGAGGATGAACTAACCAGCTTAGATAGAACAACACCCGGCGTCATCCTTCTACCATCTGAAATGTGAAACAGAAGAGTAAAATTAAAACTAAGCCTGTTGAGTGGACAGACACCTAACCTGTGGTTGAGTGAGATATCTAGGCTATTACCAGTACTCTCAGACTTGTCTTTTTTCTTCCTTTGACAAATTATGTTCCTTGCTTGTGGTCCTTTATTGTAAGCCCCTCTCCTCTCTGTTTTCTGAAATCTCTGAAGTTCTGAAGTCTTTTGTGGAGGCCCCAGCCTAGATATGATGTCAGCCTTGCTACTCATGGAAAAGAAAAGGGAAAAAAAATAGAGTGGGACAGGACTAGACAGTTGAAAAAACACTGACTTCTTGGACATGCCCCTTATCTTACATACTTTGGGGTTCACTTTCACTTTTAAAACACTTATTATATGAATAATTTCTGAAAAACAGGTAAGCAATGGTAAGCAACAGGTAAGCTCTGTGAGTCTTTAGGAGTTAGTGGTTGTCTTCGGAGCTGTCTTATGAATGCTTATCATGAAGGAAGAGATTGTTAGGTATACTGCAACTTGAAGTTTCTTGGCATACTTGTTCAAAAGGTACAAGCAATATGCAGAGCACCAAGGTGTAATCACCACCTGATAAGGCACACCATGTCCTTTGGACTGAATTCCATTGATTCCAGGCTCATTCAGATGAGATTAAATAGAGAAAAGGCTTCAGGCTCAATTTTTCCTCATGTCATCCCTATCCTTTTATAGTAATTTCTAAGAACACGCTGTAAGTTATTACCAGTCTTTCTGCTTTGTGACTCATACTTGACTAGCCTTGATATAGGTGTTTATTGTTTCTGCCAACAATATATGGTGCAAGTGCATAATCCAGACCTGCATGTGTTACTGATTTCACCTGAAAATCCTTGTCTTTTGTACATGGTAGTTGCAGACAATATATTATAGAGAAATGAAGCCAATCTCAGTCTGTGGTTTCAAGCAGCATAACTTTAGGGAAATGTGGATCTAGGAAAGGCATATGTCTAGTAGCATTGTTAAAGTAGTTGGTAACATTTTTGTTTTTTTAAATAAAACATTTCACACTCATTTAATGTTACTATTTAATTAAAAAAAAAAAAAAGTCACTTACACCAGCGTGAAACAGGTTTATGTCATGAAAGATCTCAACAAACAGTTTAAAGTTGAAGGGCTGATACTTGTCCTGTCTTGTCTTGACAGTTACTGCACAGCATAATCCAGCTCTGCCAATCAGATCTGAACAAAGGAAACAGCAGTTGTCTGACTGTGAATCACTTCTCACCTCAATTAATATAAATATTGAGTTTGCACAAGCAGACTTGACAATTTGAGACATGCCCCAATTTTCTGTGTAACCAGCACTTAATGACTGATACCCAATACTTGGACCTAGTGCTGAGGGTGAAGTCAACGGTTTAGCACTTTGTTTTGTGAAAGTGAGTCGAAGCTCAGCAGAAGGATTTCAGGTGTTTTGTAGAAGTTTTGGAAATAACTTGTATCTGTAGATGAAAAGGTTCCCATTGGTTTTAATAGCTCTCAGGCGCATTTCTTAACATTTCTGAAGTGAATTCTCATTCCTTTAACTTCCTGCAAATGTTTGAATGAATTCATTGACTCCAGGAAACATTCCCTGGAACAAAGGATGCTTAGGCTAGATCTACAGAGATCTGGAGAGAAAAAAAAAAAAAAAAAAAAAAAAAAAAAAAAAAAAAAACACCGAGCACACTCTCCTATGTGTTTGTACCAGCAGTGTATGATTTTGAAGTTATATTTTTTCAACAACAAGAATCATAGAATCATAGAATTATTTAGATTGGAAAAGACTTCTAAGACCACCTGGTCCAACCTTTACCCTAGCACTGCAACATCTAACTTTAAAACATGTCACTAAGTACCACATCTACCTGTTTTTGAAGACCTCCAGGGAGATAGTCTCAACTACTTCCCTTAACTACTTCCCTGAGCCTCCTGTTCCAATATGTCACGGCCCTTGCAGTGAAGAATTATTTCTTAATAACCAGCCTAAACCTCTCCTAGTGTAATTTAAGGCCATTTCCTCTTCTCTTATCAGTTCGTGCTTGGGAAAAGAGACCAATCCCTACCTCACTATACCCTCCTTTAAGATAATTGAAGAGGATGATAAGTTCTCCCTTGAGCCTCCATTTCTCCAGGCTAAACCACCCCATCTCACTCAGCTGCTCCTCATAAGACTTGTTTTCTAGACCCTTCATCAGCTTCATTGGCCTTCTTTGGACATGCTCCATTGCCTCAATGCCCTTCTTGTAGCAAGGGGCCCAAAACTGAGCACAGCATTCAAGAACCAAGTACAGGGGGACAATCACTTCTCCAGTGCTGCTGGCCACACTATTTCTGATCCAAGCCAGGATGCTGTTGGCTTTCTTGGCCACCTGAGCACACTGCTGGCTCACATTCAGCTGGCTGTCGACCAATACCCCCAGGTCTCTTTCTGCTGGGCAGCTTTCCAGCCACTCTTCCCCCAGCCTGTAGTGTTTCATGAGGTTGTTGTGCCCCAGTTGCAGAAGAAACTTGCAATCTTATTAGTAGGTCCAACAAAATATCTAATTTTATTTAACATGTTTGCAAATAACTTGCAGTTCAAGAACTGCTCAATTTAGCTGAGGAACTGAGGACCACACTCAAAAAAAAAAGAAAAAAAACAACCTGACAAAACACTTTCCAAACAAAGTGTTTGCCCAACTCTGTCTCCAGATAATTAGCTCAAATCTGGCAAGAGCCAATCCTAGATATTGAAAGGCACAATTGTCTAATAGCATCTTACCAGACCCTCTAAGATGCCGTGGTGGTCTTATTTCATTTCCTAGACAGTTGACAAATGTCAGCAGGAAAATTACTCTCAGCATTAGCCCTAGTTAGTAACCTCACCTTCTGTCCAGGGTCTTAATCAGCAAAGACTAAAGTGCCTCATGATCCTTATTAAAGGGGTTCTTCTGGGCTAAGATTTGTTGACAAGGACATGAAGGAAAGCTTTTAGGTTGGATATTGAATCTACAAGAGAAACATAGCTTCTGAGTGAAACAGACTGGTTAGCACTGCTGTATTTTCCTGAAAGATAATACATACACAGAGAACTTCAGTATATTCTGTTTCATATTTACCTCTCTAATCAGTGCTGAGAAGTTTAGTTGGTCAGTCTGACTTCCAGCAATCCTAAGTATCCACAGCTCTTGATCCCTCCACAGGAGCAAAGAACAGTCAGCAAGTCTGGAAAATGGACCACTTAATTATGGGTGTAAGCAAACATTCACATTTGTGTTTGAGTTGGTTTGATACATAATACTAGGGGAAAACTCTAATTCATACCATTACTTGTAACCAGAACAAATGGATAGATATGCATGCATGTCTGAAACAAAGAGAAGGAGAGAGAGACCATTTATGTGGTAGGGAGCATGACAGTAAAAATTATCTATATTGCATATTTTGCTTATGCACTCCATTTCATGCTCACAGTATGTGCAGGTGTAAGTGGCCTCTTCGTATGGTAATAGGCCGCACACTGGCCTATATTGCTTGTTGCATGGCTTTATGCATCTGTGTTTATCCAATGCTGGTGGTAGATATGAAATATAGGAGTCTTTATAGAAACTGAAAATGTTTTACTGTGATGAGCTGCAAGAGTTTTGTTCAGCTTATTGATCAGAAGGCCATGTGGTGGTAACCCGACCATCTCTAAGTCTATAAATACAAATAACATCTGCTGGCAGAAGCAACTTTAATGAGGTTGAGTAGGGGCCAGATGAAGCTGGATACATAGGAGTAAACTGTAGGTTTCTGGCAATGAATAAGCTGTAGAGTTCTGGCAATGAACATAATTAGCCTTTGGAGCAGCACAGAAAGCAATGTAGTGGAATCTTTTTTTTTGCTAGAGAAAGAAACAAAGACTTTTTAGAACTAAATTGGACATCTGTATAATATATGTGTTTAGATCAATCAGAAATTATGGGGTTCAATGAGACGCCCAAGGAGGAACATTCTGTAGCCTGTGCTATGTATGAGGTCCAAGCAAAGGGTCACCACATGCTTTCCAGAATATTACAGATTTGTGATATTTTGCCATGATTCTCACAGTACCAAATGTTTTACATGCAAAGTCAAGGCCTGGAGGCAAAGAGCTGTGTTACAGGCTCAACTTACTTTATTCTGTTTCTTGTTAAATGTCTACTCCTTGCCTTCACTCTTAGAACCACAGAATTCCAGAAATGGGGAACTGGAAGACACATTGGCAGGTTATTCCCACAGGGCAAGGGAGTAGGGCTGCACACAGCCTGCATGATGCATGCCAGATGTTTGCCTCATCTGTGCTTAAAAACCTCCTGTAAAGGAGATCTTGTTTCTGAAAAGCCTGTTCCAATGCTACACTGTGTTTGTAATCAGATTTTTTGCTAAGACTTAATCTAAATCTAAGCGGTGAATTAGCCAATTACTTCATGTCCTGCCCTCTGCAGAGAAGGGAAAATTGATTTCTGCCTTCTTTAAAACAATTTTTATGTATTTGCAGAAGTGTTATCATCTTCTTTCTGTCTCTGCTTCCTAGACTAAACAGTCCTAGTTCTCTTAACCTTTCTCAGAGGTTCATGTTTTCTAAACTTCTTATCATCTTGATGCAGCTCACTAGCTCTCTTTTCAGCTTGTCTGCAGTTATCTTAAAATGCAGCACCCAAAACTGGACACACTACTTCAGCCGAGGCTGTACCAGTGCCAAGTAGAGCAGAATAATTACCTCTCTTGTCTTATACCCAGCATTCCTGCTAATACGTCTTGGAGTGACATTTGTCTCTCTCTTCTCCCCCCCCCCCCCCCCCCCCCTTTTTTTTTTTTTGCAAAAGCATCACATTGTTGTGAAAAGAAGCTTGAAAATGTGACCCGAGTGCTGGGTGAGGTTTCCAAATCCAAAAGGCACATAAAAAGAAGGGGGGGGGGGGGGGGGGGAGAGGAAGGTTATTTTTCAGTCACTCGCACAAAATGTGGGCCTGGCTCAATATATTTAAATGTCTTGTGTTGGCAGTTCTGACTTAAAATCAATGAATGTCTACAGCCAAGCTTCATTTAATTTGTACCAATGAGTGGGAAAACCCTGGCAAACTGCATATTTTTGCAAAGTGAGACATAAAAGAGCAAACACAGGAAAAGGTAATGAATCACAGAACACATTTTGATCACTTATGTGCAAAACGATATTAATTCTGTAAAGCACTTAAAGTACAAGAAACTGTACCAAGGAAACCCTGTTTGCAATGCTGGGAAACCAGGGGAACCTTTCAGGACTTTGTGGAGAGCACGATGCGTAACTTATACAGAGTGCCAGTTAATGCTGTGCAAATTAGAGAGGTTTTAATGGAACTGTCTTTGTAGGTTTAGCAGCTGCTTTCTAATCTGTGGCCCTGTTAGCCATGCTTTTCAGCAAACTGTGTTGTTGTTGTTTGTTTGTTTGTTTTGAATTTCCCAGGCCAAAGCATCATGCTCAATTACATCAGTCACCTCATGTATTCTTGTAACTGATTTTAACACATTCTAGCAATGGCTTGTCATCTTAGCAAAATCAGGAAGGGAGAATATAGGATGCTAAGTACAGCCAGGAGGGTGAGGAGATTGCCAGTTGTTTACAGGCTATTTAAAAATATTTCTATGCATTTGATGATTTATCACAGGATTCCATGAAACTCCCTGTCTTTCAGTAATAAAAATAATAATAATAATAAATTAAATAAATAAATAAATAAAAGCCAAGAGACCCTCCACAGCTCCTCTTCCCAGGACCCTGCCAGTCTAGGAAAATCTCTCCTTTCAGCCACATACCTGTTTAAAATGTAAGTCTGACTGATTTTACAAGGAATAAAAAGTGCGTGTATCACTGTTTCAGAACCTTTATCAGGAGTTTGGCCAAGACTGTCATGGACAATTTGCTTGTTTGCTTGATGAGAGACCTCATGAGTGTTACGGTACAGAGGCTGTATAGGATGTCTGGAGTGTCTAATGATCCACAGTCAAGAGAGAGGGTACGTGTTGGGAAGAGAAGCATGGCCACAAGCATGCAACATGATATAATTGCTTGAGCAGCAATTCACTCCCTTTTGGGGGAGGTGAAACAAATAAATAAGGTCCACACCTGTACTCCCCTCTCCTGAGGCAGGAGAGCTGTTATACCAAACTGCTATCTCAGGGCTGTGAATCCAAGGTAGACCCCTAGAGCTGGATCCTGAAAAATAAACACCAAAAGGCACTGCCTCTCACAGAGCAAATGCATTCTGAATAAAAGTTCAGGAAAAGGAGGTGCATAATTTACAGCTGAGAATGTTGGGTATGCTGAAATGGCATGCACTTTTACACATCACTCAGTCCATACATGTCAGCCCATTCCCAATGCAAAGCTCCTGTTTTGTCTACCATATATTATCATGTAGTATTGTATAAACTGAGGTTCTGTCCTAAAAACTCTTGTCCAGCTATGGATCTATGTACCATGAAGAAACACTACCTTTCGTGTTATTTCATATATTATTTCATGTTATTTTACACAACATTCCCATTTACCTGACTGGGGCAAGTAAATGGGAGCCACTAGGTAAAGACAAAGTTTTCTTTCACCCATGTATGTACAAACTGTCCTGAGAAATGACACACTTTACAGAAATTGCCCACTGATACACTTAGGCTTCTCCCTCAACACATGTGCATGATCATCCCTCTGTGGTCAGAGCACAGGAACGGGAATTAAAATAGTAGCCCTTACAACTGTCTGATATAAATATGCAGTCTTGTTCTCTTTTGGCTCTAAAGTACAAAATACTTGATGTGAGGGAACCTAAGGCAGATCACTGGGATATGTTAGTAATTTTATTACAGCTGAAGAAACATGTAGGAAGATGGAGCTGTCTTAAATGAATTCATTTCTTTCACATGGAAATTTTATGGGGGTTAAAGATTCAGGCTTCAACCTTCCCAACTATGCAGTAATAAGAGGGCAGGGAAAAGACTTCCTCCCTTCTCCCTCTTTTTTTTTTTTTTTTTTTTTTTTTAATACTATTAAAAAGCCCTTTCTTCTTCTTAGGCATTTTTACCTTTTGTGTACTATTGTTTCAAACTAGAAATGCATTCAGCATAAACTTAATGAGTCATCACTTGCCTACCCTCTTCCTCACCCTGTAAGGAAATGTAATCTCAGGAGAAATTTGCTATATGTTCAAAGATGAAACAATGTGGATGTTTTCAGAGCCAAGGTAAATTCACACTATGGAATATCTTGTGTTAGAAAGTTAATTTTCTCTTTGACCAAAGTATGGGTGACTTTCTGCAGCATCTTTTTCTATAGCTGTGACGTGTTCATTTAGGCAATGAGAAGCCATGGTATAGGATCAGGCAGTCCATGACAGTTTAGCTGTTAGCATGTCCCCTGCCATTAATTTGACCCACACCAGATGAATTGGGTGATTTTCAGAGTCCACGTAACAGATCCACACTGAGTTCTGCCAAAATAAGCCTTGAACTGAGCAAAGATTTACTGGGGTCAGACATGCTAGTGCTGTGTTTGCATTAGTTAAACTGCATCACAGAAGGAGGAGAGGATGGCTTTCTCCTGAGAAATGCCCTGGAGAGACTACATGGGAATCTTTCACCCTTCCAGATAGACAAGAAGAAGGGTGAGAGTGGCAAAATTCCCATAATGGGAAAACATCCATCTTTTTTTTTTTTTTTTTTCTTTTAATTGAGCCCATTTTAGGATACAGGATTTTGAACCTGAACTTCCACTGCTCAGTGAATGTGCTGCCCAATAGACAATTTGCAACATATTCTTTTCTCCATTTAAAGTTATAACCTAGATCTGGGATCATTTCCAAGTTTCCTAGTTATGAAGAACACATGCAGGTTGACCACTGACCACTGGCTGGTCAGAAAATGTGACTTGCATCCGATACCTCAGATGAATTTTGCCCTCACAAGTTGCTGTATCTGACTTGTGGCAATGCTTCTCAGTACTGAATACCAATGATGGGCACCATGACTCAGAATGGATGGTAGAGGGATGCTACTTGCATTTTGTGTGCTCACCTCTATTGCAGGGTAAACACTTTAAACCTCTCCAACTGGACACCTGAGGAGGATATATCACTAGTTGGTTATGATCAAATATTTTGTCCTTCCTATTTAATACACAATTTAATTTACAGTCCACAACCCTTGAGTGCCAAATATCTCTACTGGTGGTGGCAACCAATACCATTGCTCTCACCTCTGTGCCAAGCCATGGATAGTCTTACTGAGATTTGAAGATCTGGGTTTGGAAATCCTTGACCATGGTCTTATTACAGACCTCAGGATCTCTTCTGGATTCTTATCCCAACACCTCAGACACATTCTTTCATTGGAAAATAACTCAGACACTTCAGTGCTCTGTCTCAGTTTCCCCATCATAACCAGAAGAATAATATATGGTGAAGCCTCAGAGAGACTAAGATACGGGGGGCTACGAAGATGGTGAAAGGCCTGGAGGGGAAGACGTATGAGGAACGGCTGAGGGCACTGGGCCTGTTCAGCCTGGAGAAGAGGAGGCTGAGGGGAGACCTCATCGCAGTCTACAACTTCCTCGTAAGGGGGTGTCGAGAGGCAGGAGACCTTTTCTCCATTAACACCAGTGACAGGACCCGCGGGAACGGGGTTAAGATGAGGCAGGGGAAATTTAGGCTTGACATCAGGAGGGGGTTCTTCACAGAGAGAGTGGTTGCACACTGGAACAGGCTCCCCAGGGAAGTGGTCACTGCACCGAGCCTGACTGAATTTAAGAAGAGATTGGACTGTGCACTTAGTCACATGGTCTGAACTTGGGTAGACCTGTGCGGTGTCAAGAGTTGGACTTGATGATCCTTAAGGGTCCCTTCCAACTCAGGATATTCTATGATTCTATGATTCTACATCTGCATGCCATACTGAGGGTGTGCATCCTACTTGCACCCCGCCCTGACTTGTTTGTCACTCCTGTTGCTTTTTGGCTGGCAGAAGCCTGAGTCAGGACTGTCATTTTCCATGAAGCACCTCATAAGGCTGGGCCCTGCCCTAGGCTCTTGGTTCTCCACCAGCACAAATTTTAACAGCAGTAAATGCTGAGAGGATTAGGTGGAAGCCTGCTAAAATATTTTAGAGGATGCATGAGGTTTTTTAGAAGTAACAGTGTAAAATACTAGTAAATCCAAGATGGCCATGTTTTACACTCACATAGAATGTATACAAAGGGCTCTCTGAGGTGCAATGGAGGAGGAAAGCCTGGCCTGATGCCTGCTCACTGCCACCAGTCCTGTGTGGCAGGGGTCAGCCTTAAAGACCTGGGTAAGAGAAAGCAAAGTTAATTCAAGGGGAGGAAAAGGGCTGCAGGCAGGGTGTGATGGAAAGCAGGCGAGTGAACTGAGGCATTAACTCTTGCAGCCAGAGCTTCCTGGTGGGACCCCTGAGCAATGCCCTCAAGCACAACGCTTGACATTTCGCCAGCTTTATTTGAGGAGGAAGAAGGGCGGGAGGAATGTTTTCTCAAAGGGAAAAAAAACAAAAAAACAAAAAAAAAAAAAACAACCTCACCCTGCAAAAGCTTTCCGTTGCCGGGGAACTTGAGGGAAAACTCAGGAAAACTCCTTTTTATGTTCTTTATGATGTTTACTCTGCCGCACGCTGCCAAGGCGGGGAGGGAGGGGATCGGCTGGGGCAAAAGCAGCACGCACAGCGGGATGGCACAAACGGCGTGCTGCTCCGTGCCCTCCACCCAGAGCCGCGGGGAAAGCCCTGCCCAGGAGAGGACACCACAGCCCCTGGCTCTCCCTTTCTGCCCGTCCTGTCCTCCGGGCCCAGCCGGCGGCTGCAACGGGAAGGCCACAGCGGATGTGTGATGAAAGGGCTGCTGCAGCTTATCTCCCCGCGCAGGGGCCTGCTCCGAGGGCGGCGCGGCCCACTGCGCCGGCTTTGTTGGCTGGCGCTGTCGGCGTGGCCGCGTGATTCATGCAGGGCCCACGCGACGCTTGCCAAGGAAAGCTTCCCCCTTCCCCTCCCCAGCCAGGAATCAACGCGGCAGAGGGCCACCGAGGTCACAAGATCTGCCTGTTATTGCGTTTTACAGGAAGGAAGATACGTTGCCTTCAGATCAGTTTATCAGCTGACTTCCCTGTGAAGAAGACAGGGGCTGTTTTTCCTGTTCATCGCCACCCCCGTAATTCCCAAACGAGCGCGCTCTGTTTGCATCTCCTGCCGGTTCAGCTGCGCACGCTTCTGAAACAGCCCAGTATTAAGCAAACAAATAAAAAAGCCATTGTGCGGCCGCGCAGAGCCGACGTCTCTTATCAAACTGCCCTGCACGAGGGGATAAATCTCTTCCTTGGGGCCGCCTGTCGTCTCGCTGCCTGCTGGTGTCAATGCACAATTAAACCCGTTGTGACGAGATAGACGCGGCGGGTGAGCGCGGGGCGAGCTGCTCGCAGGGGTGAGCTGCCCTCGCTGCTCTCAAGGTGCCTTCCTTTCCGCTTTGAAAACCCACAAGTATTGCAGTGTGTTGTGTTTGTGGGTTTTTTGTTGTTTTTGTTTGTTTATATTTTCGAGGGGGGGCTGTCTTTTAAAACCCAGGATCTCGGCAGATTATTTTTAAGCATCTACCCTTTCCCTGTGCAAGGGATAAAACAGTGTGCAGAGTTGGCCTCCTCCCTGAGGTCCCTCTGTTCGTAAGGTTTTCAGCTGGGGACGGGTTGCCTGTTTCCTCTCTTTACTCTCTGTGACAAATGCATTTCTGTGACCAGGAAACTGCAGATGTTGCAGATCCACCAAGGCATAGCTTATTATCTAATGATTCTTAATCTCGGAAGGATTACACGTGTTGAATAATGCCATTCATTGATAAAGAGTTGAAGGGAATCATCCTGATTAGAATGTATGCACAGTGGCAGCTTTAACTGATTATACTCTTTTTATATAGCTGTAAAACCAGAACAACCCTCCATTGCTCCTGGCATCTTAACAAGTTTGATTAACCCAGCAAGAAACAGTACTTACCAGAATAAAATTGCTGTTTTTACTCTCTGCTGGGCTGCACACCTGCGCTGCTGCACAGCAAAACAGCCACTGATCTTTGACCTCTTCAGTATCCACTAATTTCTGTGGTATTCATCTGGTTAGACTTTTCACCTATCTTTGCATTGCATTGCATTTCCTCCATCTATACAGAAAACCTTTGGCCTCTAGTGCTCTGGGTCTGCTGAATCCTGCAGTAACCCAGAAGGAGGAAGATCCCATCCAATGTGCAATCCACTAAGAATTTTGTTCTTGAGGCAGGATCAGGATTCATATCACTATTCAAGACATTTACATTAACTTTCCTACTTTTTCAGTTGGTGTCTGTCCACAAATGTTTCATGTCCAGATCTTAATGCCTGCACCCACATCCAATCCTGCAGTTTACAGTTATGCAAGGTGAAGCAGTAAACTTCGCCTGTAATCTTCAGTGCATTACTGTACAGTGAGTACTTTTATGCATTTTGATTGACCTTCATCTAAAATGATATATATATTTGGAAGGACTGCAGATATCCACCACATTTATTTTCAGACAGTACTGTTTTATTTATTAAATTGTGGCAGCTGAATCTGTACTGGGCCTGGGTATAACCCACACTGCATAAGAAGCTAAACTAAGGTGATTTTTGAGAAGGGTTTATAAAAAACTCTTCTTGATATCAGAGCCTAAAAATGCCTAAAGCATGAAGATGGCATTTTTAATAGAATAAGTACATGTATGTTTTGGCAGTACAAAAAAAAAAAAAAAAAAAAAAAAAAAAGACTTGTTTTGTTTATTCTGGATGATTTAGAAAAGCACTAATCATATTGAATTTAAGTTGGAGTATCTAAGAGAAAATTATAACAAAGCTGAAATGGGAGGAAAAGAAGATGCAGAATCCTTCCAAGCTTCGTTGTCATACAAATGGGTTTTGGTTTGAACTCTTTAATTTGCCACTTGCCAGCCTACATCTAAGAAGCAACCTTGTTTGGATTTCCACAAAGAATCTCATTCTTTTTCAATAAAAAGACCTGGCAATAATTCTGTTGGCACTAGATGAAGAGCCTGCTTATTCCACTGGTGATGGTTTCTTTTGTTATCTATTTTAATGAAAACTTCATTAAAAAAAAATAAAAAGACATTGAAAGTTTATGGATAAAGCTTATGTACATTTGTTCCAGTCATATGCTAAGAAGTTACTTGTTATTGAAGACATCACACCGGGGAGAAATAGGGTTAATAATAACACTTTTTGCAAGCAGCAGTTTTTATTCAAAAGCATGAATAAGTGAAGCAAACTACAGGGCCTGAGGCAAGCATGTGGGCAATTCAACAGGTTTGACTTTACAGTAATTTTTTGCAGCTATATTTTGTTTACAACCTTTCGGGAAAGTTCTGTGAACCTTAAATGGGTTGCATGTGTTCTTTAAAGTCAAGAAAGTCCAAAAGATCTGTGTACAAGGATTTGTACTGGGATTTACCAATTCACTTCATATAAAGCAGGAATCTGGTTCTGTACTTAACTCCACGTAAGTGTCTTCAAGACCACAGTAGGAATACAGATACATTTTCTCTCAGTAGTACTGGTCAAAATGCTTTGCATCTTTTAGCTTTTTGACAAAACATGGTACCAGGTTTTTTCTACCATACCTGCCATTTGCCAAGCTCTGTGGTGTCTCACTGATTCTAATACACAGCTCTAAATTCTAGGCTTTCATCAGGGCACACACAGTATGATGACAAACCAAGCATCTGTTCACAGCAAAGGTTATCAGCTGAATGTTTTCCTCAGTCTTTGGCTCACAACACAGCACCTTCACACTCGGAAAGGCACTGATGGATGGACTGACCTCGCTGGGATTTAGGGTGACCTGTCAGCAAGTGAGCTTGGGAGGGAGGGCATGCCAACAAGATCAGGATGTGGCTGCTGCTGAGGACCACAGCAGGAGAAGGCTGATGGGAAGCACCAGCTCCATCCTCTTGACCACAGCTCCGGCATACGCTACACAGGTGCTGCTGGCCCAGAAGGTGCTGGCAAAGGACAGGTCTCATGCAACAGCAGCCATGGTTGTACACATCCATGCTGTGCAGCACATTTGTCTATAAACAGCCTTTTGATTTTAACTTTTGTAACAGATGAATTATGGCTCCAAAGTAACAAGGCGTAATGGTGTAATGTTAGGATCTTTTCAAGTTTTTCTCTTTAGAAGAATAAACTTCACATTTTCCTCATATACAATATTACACTAAAGCCCTTTCTGGTGGGGCTTCACAGATGTTGGCTCAACAGCCCCTGAAATCAATTTGGCTTCATGTTTGAAATTTGCACAATTTTCCTTTTATGGCAGTTCTGTAAGTCCCACAAATCAGAGTTAAATGTAGTTTCTCTCCAAAGCCTCCCTTGTGTCTCGCTGCTCCTCCTCTATGTTCTCTCAGCCTTTGCAGAAGCAAAAACTAGGAAAACACCTCAAGCATGGAGTTATTTTTCATTATTATTTAGTCATATTTTTGGAAAGAGGTAAATAAAATACAATCACCATATTTTGTCACTAATAAACATAGTCTATACACATAAATGAATGTTATTTATTTATGCTATACACATAAATGAACATACACACACACACACACACACAAATAGTCTGAATGTCTGCTCAGAAAAAAATGAGATTAGCCCCCATGAGGTATTTATCAGCAATATAGCAATATGAGGCAGTAAACATCATGATACTTTCTGATTTAGAGGTAAAATGTGTCCTCTGAGCAACCTCACTGTCTCCAGACAAGTTCTTCAGTTCTCCACTAACAGATCTAGATGTGACTTTGTATGCTGTTCATGGAATGAATGTGTAGTTTCATTATATGCTATTCATGTCTTCGTATGCTGTTTGTGGGATGTTTTTTAATGGGATGAATACTTTTTTCCTAAACACAATAGTGCCGCAACACTATTACAAGAATATTTTTACGGCATTAATATTGGTATAATGTTCATGCGTGGAAATTTGCTTTGCCTTTGCAGAGAAAAGTTTTAGGACAGGAAGGTATTGTCATACTCGCAGATGCTGCTGAAATGTTGGCCTTCATCTCTGATAACTGGCTGCTGGGGCTCAGAGGAATATGTACTAGATGCTTGTCTTTAGGAGAAGGACAGTTTTCTAATATAAAAGTTTTGAACTTAGCAAGGTGTAAAGTAGAGATGGTCCTTTGAATATCCATGGGAATGTGAAACAATTCCATAGAAAATTATTTTCCAAAGGGATGTAGGAGCTTACATCCCAGACCTGACTGCTCTCTGTTAAGATCAGAGGACTCACAGGGGACAGATTTTTCATTATCTGCCCCTTGCTGAGTTTCTATACCTTCCTAATCATGATGCCATTATTAGAGACAGAACAGGATATGACCCTATGTGAATCTGATGGCACTCGATATGGACCAGCTCTCAGCCTCCTAACATTTGCTTTACCGTGTGGAGGTGCTCATGGAGTTCATTATTCAGGACTATAAATTCATATCTGCTGGGTTCATAGTCTCCGACCTATGCAGACAATACTCAAAGTCTCAGCAGGAAGGCAAGATGCTCTGAGCTAGTCCCTTAGCTGATACAAACAAAGGTCCTCAGACTCCAGCAGCCAGTGCTCTGTCCTCAGATGCTGAAGAGCTAGATATGTACACACAGATTGAAGGTAATATTGTTCTGGTGGGTGGCTACTACAAACAAGGTTATGTAGTTAACCACTACTAAGGTAGTTAACCATTACCACTATTGCATAAATATTAGTAACTATTTGGGAGATTATTTCCATGTTCTGCAAAACACTTATGAATTTTGCTTAGTAAAAATGCCATCTCTAAATCTGTTTTTGTGCATGCCTAATAATTGTCAACATCACTGCATTAATGAAGCTTTATTGACTTTTTTCCTTAGACTCCATTCACTGTTATCTTTATAAAGAAACACATGGGACAGTCTTGGGTACATCTGGCAGATAATAACCCTGTAGCATTAATAATCATACAAAAGAGACAGCTCGAGGCAAAGATACTATTTTCATTTCACCATCTGACTCACCCCTGACTTATTACAAGATTCCCCACTGTTTTCAGGTCTGGAGGAAACAGAGCTGTGAAAGATGTAAAAGACCATCTTGCACAGTCTGGACACCCCTTGCAACCCTCCATGCCACATGCCAAAGCTTTTGAGTAGATCCTGCTCTCTCAAGGGCACTCTCCAAAAACAGGACCTCCAAATCATCTTGATTTTGTCCTAAATGTAAAAATCATCTTGATTTTGTCCTAAATGACTCTCACAAGAAGGGTTTTCACCATGGAATCCCGGATATATGTGAGACAAGTCCAGGCTCAGACTAACTTCTAGTTCAGTTGTTTTCATTTTTGTCCTTGATAACTGAGCAAACAATACAGACCACTTCTTTGCCTTGTCACATTTTTCCTTATTATACCCTTCTGATCCAAGTAGCCAATGCCTTTCACTTCCTGAAAGAGATGTCCTTCTAACATTTTATTCATACTTGTTTTAAAGATCTCCTCAAAGCCCCCCACGGCATTACAACTTCCCTCATGTGTGACACAGCAACTACCCGATCCGCAATGTTTCCTTAGGCTGGGACCCAACATGACCACAGCTTTCTTGGTAGATCCCTGTTTCTTCTACAGAGTGCAGAAAGAAGAGAAAGAGGAAAGTGTGAACCAAGTCTCTTGTTTCTTTTTCTTCTTACCTCTGAGATGTTTCTGCAACTCTCCCAACATGCCTGTTGATAAGTGTCATGTTTCCTTCTGTCAAAGTAATCCCCCCTTCTCCCAAACCACATCTATTGAATAGCTTTTTTTGTGTGTGTGAAAATATATACTTGAATGCAAATGTTTCAACCAGTCCTTTTTAAAGTCTGATTAAATCAAATATATAAATAGGGTAAAACTCTAGGACTTCTGGG